TGGTGGAAATATTAGATGTATATTTTGTGGCATTTTGACCTGATGTTTTAGTTGATATTATCCAGAGGGGAAACCTTTCATGAAGCCTAATGCGCAACGGGAAACTTTCCAGCTCTTCCAGCCTCTGTACAGAGGCTGGCACGCCCAAGCTCTTCTTCTAGCCTCATTAACATGTGTGTTCTTCCGACCCACAACACCAGAGCTGCTTCAGCCAGGTGCTTCCCTCCACAGCCCCTCCAGCCTTAGTGCAGATGATCCAGGCACACAACACCATCTGCGCTTTAGCAAAAAATGAGTCATGGTGATGATGTAGAAAGTCCTGGACGGAATAAATGTGCCCAGATCATTGAATGGCAAACAATGCAGCTAAGACATGTAGTAATGTCTGTCATTTTCTCATTTTAAAGAGAACATGCGACCGTATGACCTTAAATATATATATATATATATATAGTACTGTGCAATATTTTTTAGGCTGGAATTTCATATCCATATGGATTATTTATCTATCTATCTATCTATCTATCTATCTATCTATCTATCTATCTATCTATCTATCTATCTATCTATCTATCTATCTGTCTATCTTCAGCAGCATCACTTCAAGCAAGTGGCATCCTTAGCTTTTATCAAGCTAGCTCGCTCTAACAATAAAGCATATATTGGTTGACTTTGAAATGACAATGTGCCATTAACTGAGCAATAACCACTGGGACAGGTGTGTGTGTGTCTCAAATAGCTTTTCATTTATGTAGTGGACATTTTACTACTCTCAAGACACAAATATGTCACAGATGTTGGTGTTTATGTATGTTAACAACAAGCATGTGATGTGAACAATTAACTACCTTTTAACAGTCTCACAAAAAGACAGGACAGAAAAGCTAATTAATGTTTACATCTGTCTGAAACCTGTTCATTAAAATACGTCGGCGAGACTAAAGCAGCAGTAAATATGTGTCTCCATCTGCTCTCAGGGCTAGTCGATGGATCAGTGGCTCTTGTTGGTCTGTCAAACAGGGAAAGTCAGTTATTGATCTATAAATGATGCTTTCTAGTCCTTCAACTAGCAAGTTGTTTTAGATAAAAGTCACTGGACACTGAATACAACATGATCACATACTCCCTCAGTAGCAGCATGCTATCAGGCTAGAACCTCCACCATCTCATCAACCATTAAAAACAATGAAAGGTACTTTTATAGAGTAGATGTGCAAATACCCCAGTGAAGTGTTTCTGTGAAAAGTATCCAGTCACTGTCTAGTTATAGCATGTGTTGTCCTTTAAAAGTCAATTGTAGATGAGCTTCAACAGTAAATAAACAGGTCAGTCAGTTGCTCATTTTTAATGCACTTTGGAGGAGATTAATGTAACTAAAACTGAGGTATAGACACACATGGATAGAAAAAGGAAAGATTTCCTGCTGCACTTGTACTTTAAGAGAGGAACAGTCAACTCTTTGCTAATCCATCCATTAGCTCACCTGTAAATGATGTGGACCTTTTTCCCATGTGATTTAGTCTGCACACAGGCTGGTAATAAACAATTCAACAATTCAACAAATGCCCCTGTTCGTTTACATTCAAACTATTTACTTTTTCTTCCATTTTTAGCAAAGTTTAAAAAGGTCAACATTTTCAAATATCTGAACGATAGAGGTGATGGGGGTCAGAAAACTCGCATCTCATGATGTAATGAACCAAAGGGATGTTGGGTAAACACAGCACAACCCACAGCTGTAGAAGGAGGATCAGAGCTGCTCCGCTAGCACTACCTTCAGGGCACTGACACACTGGTGCGGTGGTGACCTTATTTCCCAATGTTGAATTGGCTGTCACTACTACTTGGAGGCCATTCAAGTGTTTGATGCCCTCAGCCACACACCCAACATTTTACAGCCTTCCCTTTAAAATTACTTGAAAAATTGCCGTGGCTCAAAGTGCAGTAAAGAAAATAAATGTGGTGCCAGGCTAATGTGCACCGGCAGAATGGAAATAAAAAATTAAAGCTTAGGAATTAAACCTCGAATTAACACAGAAAAAAAAAACACTCTGTACTATTTTATTAATATTTCTCTCTCTCATCCACACTACTCTCTAATGTTTGCTGTTGCAGTTGATTGTGAAAATATTGCTGGGTGTGCCTGCACAGCTGTTTCACTGAAGAAATGTCTAATTAGCAGACTGTGACCGATGACCGGGACAGGATATGATGCATACCTGCCTCCTGAGCTTTTGTAAACATTTGGTTGTGTTTTTCCTCTCACTCACTTTCTACTCCGTCCAGGTCAAATGGAAAACATGTCAAGGCCCACTCCTTCAAACTACTGTACTGTTTCTTTATGTGGAGGTCAGGGTATTTTTAGCCACGGCAGGTCAAATAGTTTACAATTATAGGTGAATGTAAAAACAAGGGGCACGTGGCTTTTACACTGTGGTTTATGGCCCGGTCATTGTTCTATAGCTTTGACTGGTTTTTCCTTAGGTCTGACTGACAGGAACAGAAAATTTGATCCTTGAATGAAACACAGTTTCCTTGGAGCTCAGTTCCAAACACACATTGGAAATTGACCTTTCTTTTGCTTCCGACAGTTTTATATTGTGTCATCCGAACACCACCAGGAGAAAACCTTAATGAATCATACGCAGTATTGATTTCACTCTGCTCTGACGACTGATTTCCCATGAACTCTTTCTTTCTGACAAAACTACACTTGTTTGAGTACAATTTGCATTTTTCATCTCTCTCCCTTCTACTCCTTCCAGCCCTGTCATCCCTATAAGTCAGCGTTCCCCCTCGTGCCTCTTCCCTCAGCTGTTCCATGCCCTCGCTCCACTGGGATTGATACAATATTTTCCATCCTCAATTAGCAGAGAGTCTGTTGACTAAATCCAACTGTTTTTGCACCTGAGAGGGAGTTGGGAGTCGGGGTCGGAAAAACTGAGTGTCGTGGAGGTGAGGGCTGTGGCACGGCCGTAGAACTCTGTCGACAAGAGTGGAAGGGCAACACGGAGGTTCAAGGAGGGGTTGCTTTCGCTACCACACAATAATTGTGGACGCTGTATTCAAGTTGAGGACAGTGTGTGTGCTCACACTTGCTCTCTACAGTTCTGGGTTTGCGCCTGGCTACAGGAAAGGCTCCAGAAATCTTTAGGCTAGTATTTTACATTACTGCAAATGTAATTTCAAGTATTTATAGAACTGTATCAACTTCCTGTATATGATAATGCCATCAAATATCACCAGCAGTGATCTTGTTATTAAATATGTACCACTTCCTGCATGTTCATGTCATATAATCAGCATCAATAAATTGTGTCTGGGTATACATGATAAATGTAACACAAGCCCCACAGACAAAGAGGAAAAAAACTAAACAGAGAAGAAAAAACTGCCATGGATACTGGTCTGACACCAAGAATTGAGATATACACACAAATATTTCCTTTCACCTAAGCAAGGGGTGCTTAGGGGTATCNTATCAAGGTTAAACAAATTAGCATCAGGTTAACTGTCGGGTACTTCTTTGTAAAGCAGTAATATTGCTACAGTACTTTTCAGTTGCTGCACTACTGCCATCATGTAAAAGGACAAATGGTTTCTGCTGCTCTTAGTGCATTTTATTCGTTGTTAAAAAATACATATAAAATTGCTCTTTTGGTGCTAAAGGTTGCAGAGCCCTGACATAGGCACTTGCGAGGATAATGGCTGAAGTGTATGTGATAATGTTATGTACAGAAATTGCAGTCAGAGCTGCTGCAGCCACGTAATGTGATCTAAGATCCCTTGTGTTTAGGCCAAAGACCTGCACTCATTCAATGCTTTAGTGCAGTGTTTCCCAAACTTTTTTTAAAAGTCACAAACCTTCGCGACCCAAGTCAATAGACATTAATCGTAAACTACTGGGAAACATGATGTGAGACAACCCCAAAAAAAACTCTTACGCCCCCCCTGAGGGTCGCAACCCAGTCTTTGGAAACCAATGCTTTAGAGCAACGTTACACACTGAAAATTATCATTTTAAATATTAAACAATATTTTATACCTCTGTCTGTAATTATACTCATGTTTGTGGGTTTTTTTTTTCAGTTGCCTAATCCTGCCAAATTAACAAATGTCATCTATTCTGCAACCTGGGACCAAAGGAGGCTGTGGGATCAGCTCAACAGGGCTGACAGCTAGACACAGCAGCTGCTCCTGCCTCCAGTAGCTGGAAAAAATCTGACTCACCCACAAGTATAAAAAAGCATTAATGACAAACACATAAATATTACAGTCAAGTCATAAACTGCGATCCAGTCAGACATGCAATGACTAATGGAGAGAGGTCGTGGATCAGAGTCTGTTTTTCTGACCTGGTCAAAGAGTCTAAAAGGTATCCATTTATAGTCACACCCAGGAGGCCAGAAACCTGGCTTTATCTGTATCTGTTGAACTTTGTGGTAAACAATGCCACTGTACACTGTGGGAAACGTCCTGTCAGAGGAGCTGCAGGTGGTCCTTGGTAATCCAACAAGGGATTTACTGTACTGCAATGTGTCAAGTTGTTACGAAAGAGATGGAATACTGAAGTTTTCAAAGCATTTACTACCAGTAGGTTTATGCTCAAACCTTATACTAAAATAGGTCCACTGGCATTAATAAGTTTTGACAAGTTAACCCCCAATCAAACTGGATCTCTTTTCCACCACCAGTATGGAACACCAACTGATAGCCAACGTCTTTCCTCGGCTCAGCTTTTTTGTAAACTCCGTGCTGAATGTCCCACGAGGAACCTAAATCCACACTGGTGTATTCCCTTCTTACCTAGCAACACATCCCCACGGTCTAAACACAACAAGAATAGCTCAGCAGAACTACAACCTCAGGGTATCCCAATGAACCGCTATAAAAGTCAAGAGATAAGAAAGGCCGGCTGTAACAATAAAAGTGAAAACGTCACGGGCTATCTCTGACATGTGACAAACAGGAGTTCTTCTCTGGCTGTGCCAGCTACTTACTGTCGGCATAGTTTTTCCTCCGAGTGCCGTCCACCTTGCCCGTCTTGTCAATGCAAAGGAAGAACTTGTTGGCAGAGTAAAGCCGCCGCAGCCGGACATCGCCCTCTAGGTGGTTGTAACTGCGAGTGTGCCTTTCCAAAGTCCATGAGCAGTTGATGCCACTTGCAAGCACCTGAAAGGGTTCATGCCCTACCCCAGGAGGACAGGCTCCCGTTGCAGTGCCAGTGGTGACCAGAAGCAGAATGAGACATGCCAGGCACAGGGAGAGTGGACTCAGCAGGGGCAGATGTTGCCTGGAGGAGGCTGCAGAAAAGATGGTGCCAAAAGCAGGTTCAGCACAGAGGTGAGCCACGGATGGGGGCCATCTGCACATGGTGGGTCAGACTCCCAAGGTGCACCTTGTGTACGCTGTAGTCATGCTGCTGCTGATGAGATGTCCCACCGGAGGGATGACAGGAGAGGGGGGAGTCCTGAAGATGGACGAGAGGGAAACGTCCCCTCAGAGCAGATCCTCTGGATGTTGTCGTTCTGGACCTGGAGCAGTCCTCTCTACAGCGGCACACCGGTGACTCCAACTATCATCTTCAGTCTTGTTGGTCAGTGAGTCCAGCTCTGACATGAAGTGATGCAACTGATGAATCCACCAATAAGAGGTCCTCGTTGGTCCCACTTCTTGACTTGCCACTGCTGCTAATTGGTTTGTGTATGTTAAGTATGTAAAGAGTGTGTATGGCCAGAGAGTGTGTGCACCTTGCAACTGGATAGTAACATGGTGCCTGACTGAGCTGCTGGCCTGTGCCCGAGTAGTTGAATTAGGACTGGTGACTGACTGCGTGTCTGTGCGTGCGTGCGTGCGTGCGTGTGTGTCTGAGATTGGAACTAGGAGAGAGAAAGAGAGAGACGGGTGAGTTGGTATGGGAGAGAGACAGTGAAAGATAGTGAGATAGAGAGAGTGGGAGAAAAAAGAGAGAGAGGGAGACAGAGGGAGCGTGTAACGTGTCTGTGTGTCAGTAAGTGTGTGTCAGCAAGCATGAAGCAGTCAGCTAATGGCCTTGCACTCTGCTGTGTGCAGCAAGTGAGCCAGTCCTCTCCTATTTTATCCTGGGCAGGGCCAGCATCGGAGGGGTTGAAAGCAGAGTTCTGGAGATGGCGGGGGCAGGGGTGGGGCGGGGGGGCAGGGGGGGGGCGGAGGGGCAGTGGGGTGAGGTGGGGCTGACTCATTTAGAAATGTTTCCTTTTGGTGACCACGCAGAAAAGTATATTCTTTAAGAAACTGTCCTGCTGTTCTCTTACCTTTCTTCCCCATGATCCCCAATCCAGTCAGTGCGTGACCCCCTGTTGTCTCCACTGTGAGGTGCAATTTTAAAGTAGTTTTCCTACAGGAAAGTTGTCCTCCCTGAGAGTTTACTCTTGATAGAATATTTCACACGGCACTCTCTCATCTCTAATCTTTGTGGCATCATCCTCAATTAAAACCACCCTTTTCACCTGTGTCACTGTTATAAACGTAATTAAGCCAATATACAGTAATAATGGGCTCTGTGTCCAAACAGATAATTATGAAGTGGAGATTCAGACAAGTGTGAACAAGGCCAAACATTGTGCTTATCTATTTTGGCATTTGACCCAACATTAAGTTATAATGATTTTATTACCTTGTCATTGTGTCTCTATGGAGCTGTTGTAAACATTACTAATAAACAGCTTCGGCTTTGCTTGATAACACATCTCTATGATAACAATGAAATAATAATAATAATAATAATATTTGGCCATACATTGCAATACTTGACAGCTGTCATCATTTAGTTCTGTATTTGCTTTTTCACTGTATAAAATAGTGAAATTTTATGTATTTTTGTCATATATTTTTGTGATCAAAGCAATTTATTTGTCATACGTTTGCTGCTGGATTAAAACCTGACACTGGCTGAAAGGAAGACAAACCCCCTTCCTACTGATTTGAATGAGTATTAGAGTATTTTATTAATGAAAGTAATAATAAGTATTAGTATTATTTATTAGTAAAATATATAGTTATCAGTAGCACTTGTAGTTGTAAACATTGTATTAGACTACATTAGAGTGGGTTAAGGTATAACTTATTATGACGTATTTATGGATTCCTAACATCATCTGTGTTGAGGTGTTTGTCCTGCTTTGTTCACCATCAGCCGTACAATTCTGCTTCATTCTGTAAAACTCCTAATAAATTAAGGTCAAACTTGGGCTACATTTGAACAGAGGACTGAGCTGATGCCTCTGTGGTGCATCTGAAGTAAATGTTTAGGCTCTGACCTCAGTGCCGTAGTAGACACCACAACATAATGTATTGCTTTGTTTGAGAACAATTATCCTGCTGTTTTACTCTGGGCATCTTTGATGTTGCAAAGAAAACCCCAGTAATGGTCTAAAGGTCACATACACCACATACTGTACACGTCAGGCTTCCAATACACTGTTTGTTTCCATCTTTCTCCAGTTTCCATATGCAAGTTTGCTACCACCTGCCTAACATCTACATTCTAAAGCAAATCCTGAGCTGCTGAGCAGCGCGGTGGTGTGTGGGTGTGCCCTGAGCTGAGAACACCACTCTGTGAGCCAGGCGTCCAAGGAGGATGTTCTCAAGTGAAAGAACCTAATCTTTCCCAGCAGGGATCTAAGCAGCTCTGTAAGTGTATGAATGGAGATAATATCTCTATAATGAGGCCTGTTTTGTACCATCGAAGTCCTCAAAAGGGTCTGAAACCTGACCTTCCTCACAGCCCTGACAATCCCTCAGTAACAGCTGCCTATTATTAATTGTTTTGCCTCCGTGTTTCCCCCCTTTCTATCTGTGTTATTGCCACTAACACTTGACACAACGCTTTTATGTGCAAAAAAAAACAACAAAAAACCTTCACAGACTTCTATAGAAGTTGATCCAAGTTCTAGAGCAAGGGGATCATTAGAATTCCATTGATTATCATATCCAGCTTCTCTAAGCCCGAACATAACAAAGTGGCAGACGACAAATTAAAGACAGCCTGTTCTACTGGATGAAGACCCAGCACAGGTGTCATTGGGCTGAGATTGAGTTTGTCCTTGTCCTTGAAGATAAATACACCACAGGAAGTCTATGTGGTGAGTATGTTTCTTATGTGAAGTGTTTGTATTTGCTACTGAGGGAGCCACATAATAACAGGGCTGTGTGCAAATTCTTACCAAGACGTAAGAGAACTACTGAACAATGAGAAGATGCCCGACTATCAAAAGATATTTAATATGCAATCCCTACCAACTGAGCAGAATATGAAGGCGTAAGGTTTAAAGATATACGTCTGTATAAAAGTTTAATATCTTTGAGCGAACTTTGAGGATGACACGGCATCATTAAAGTCTAAAGTGTGTGCCGTCTCCTTGTATAACCTAATTATGAGCATGACACATCTTTTGATAATTGTACTGATTCCGTAAGCTGAAACACATTAGCTGTGTTTGCTGGGAAGCCCACTCTCTGTGCGATGAGTCATGACAGTCCAATGGTTATGTCCTTTGCGGGATCTTTTAATTCCATCTACTTTTGAACGTAATGCACAAGGATGAACAATGTGTGATTAATAGAAGATAATATTTTACAGTTGTTTACTCTGATGTGATGCAGAATCATCGTCTGCTGAAGTAGATATCACAGTTTAGGGTGATGTGTTCATTTCCAGGTTTGACATTTTGTTGCCACAGAGGACTTTTATTTGTTAGCAAGGAAGGTTCCTGTGGAAGCAGACGTACTCCTAAGGGACAAGCCACAAATTTGCATAAGCAATACACACACACAGAGAAAAAGAAAGAGAGAGAGAACTGGCATTACAAGAAAAGCTCCATGTCTCCATTAAGTTTCTGCGACCAGGTGAAGCAGTTTTAAAACAGTCCTTTAAAAAAAAAAGAGCTGTTAAACAAATAGTCAGCCCCTACAAAGGTGTGCAAAAGAATCCACATGATCAAAGTTTTTCAGAACCGCAGCCTTGTCCTTGCCTGGCCATTATCAGGCCCCATGAATGCCTGTCTTCTCTTCTTTTGTTGCTCAGTGCATTGACAGTCACTCACCCGGCAATGACTGTCACACCAGTGCAAAGAGCCAGCCGCCAACAGGGGCCAGCCACATCAAACGAGGCTGTCAAGGGGCCCTACTTGTGAACCGTGGCAACAAACACCTCCTGATCTTCACCTATAGCTCAGCAGCAGACACCCACCACTGTGCCCAGCCACTGCACTCACTGAGAAAAGATGTACTGGTCTGGACCTCTTTTCTCCCGACCCGCTCCCCCCTCACTTTGTCAAGTAGTGGTTGAGATAACCTCCAGCATGCTGAGACACAAAGAGCTGCTAAAGTGTTTAACAGATGCACAACAGAGTGATGCTGACACGACCAGGGGTCAGCAAGTAACTTTGAAGGAGAGTCAGTTCCACGTGAAATTTGGAGCCAAGACACACATGATTAAAACTGCAAGGTGTTATGGCCTTAAAAAGAAGTGTTCAGAGAATCACTGTGTTCAGAGCATAACAACAATTGCAATCAACTGTGTGTGACAAACAAATCCTTAAAAGCAAACCCAACAATTTCTTAAGCAAATTACAAGAGATAAGAAGTACGAGAATAGATATCTCTTTGTGTTTGTATGATTTTTATATATAGATATCATTTTTTTATATTAAATGAACTAGGTATCAAGTATATATATACAAAATATCAAACATATAGACAGAAACACGACACTGAAGGACAATTGACATTTTGCTTGACCTCTAGTCTTAGTTCGGTAAATGTGGTGTGACTGCCACCTGTAGGACACATACAGTAAAAACCTTGCATGCACATTCATTAAACATATTTGGAAGTCGAGAAGTATAATTGTATTTTGTGTTTTAAGTCTGCTGTGCATTTAATTATTGGGAAAGGAAAACACAAACTAATGTGACCAAATGAAAATCAAATTTACTGCAAGAAATTTATATATATTTATTTTTATATATAGCTGAAATAACTATTAGAAAGTTTTTGACTTGAACGCCCGCTGGAAGACCAAACGACTAAGACTCGTGCCTCATGCTCCGGATCCGCAACCGGAAATAAGAACCATACAACGTATTCCTAATTCCGTTATACAAACGTTCCAATATCAGCGCGCCCCTACAGTTGACCGCTGACATTCACATTTTGATTTTGAGTTTAGTCTCTTAGAACTTTTCTTTAATAGAAAGAGCGCGTGTTGACGACTGTAACAGAAAAGCTCATTGATGAAAATCGTTTTTAGTTTTTAGTTAATAGTTCAGCTATATATACTGTATTTATATCTACATGCAGGGCCTGAGTGGGCCCCTTTTAAGACAAACATAAATATACCAGAGAAGGGCAAACTTGCCTTTTTAACAATGCTCTTCTAAGAAAGTCTGCTTTTGCTTTTTACCTTAGCTGTCCTCAAAGAGTGTCGTGCTTGACCAGGTCCAGTCAACATCAGCCAGAAGACAAGAGGGTGGAGGAGAAACAATCCATCTGATCACATCAGGTGCCTTTATCTAGGATCCAACTTCTTCACACTCGGTTAGCTCTGGGAATTAACGAAATAAAATTCAAACGTCAGTGTGAATCAGAGCTTTATTTTATTTGGTAGAACAATTATTTCAAGAAAAATGTGATATGTTGTAAATACAGGCTAAGTTCATACATAGCAGTAGTGAAATATTATATCCAAGAAACAAAAGAAATAAGTTTATGAAATAGTTAATAATTTGAGAAGTGGTCCTATAATTTCTGGTTTTGTACATTTGTGAGGGAAACTTTGAACATTATAAAAAAAAAATTATAGTTTCTTGCTTATATTATATTGGTAGTTTTAAGAAGTGGCTGCAGCAGACAAACATTTGTGATTCATCCATCTATCCTAAAAAAAGCATGTCAGAAAACCTACTCCACTTGATCCAAACTAAAGAGAGTAATACTGATACTTTCTACTGCAAAATATATTACATAATAAAGATAGTGTCGTAGTACATTTAGTAAAGTCCATGCAAGTTAAGTTTCTTAATTAAAAGTTTTTATAATCAATTGCAGAAACATGTGTTAGTCTGTTATGGAGTACAACAGCAGTCCCCAACTTTTCTTTCAATAGTTAAATTAGTAAAAAATAAGTATTCTTTCACTGTGTCCCACTGCAGCCCGGTACCAAATGACCTATGGACTGGTACTGATCTATACAGTCTTCCATTTACAACTGGCCCTTCAAGGGGAACTGTATTGCTAATGTGGCCCGCGATTAAAATAAGAAACCCCTGGTCTAATTTCAACTCGGAAATGGATGTCGCGCTCTCGATTTATCTGCGATCGTGTGGTTACGTCTTTAAAAAAGCGATATTCTCGTCACTTGATTAGCGTGGTCTTATTTAAAATGGCCGCCTACTGCTGAGAAGTAACGCGGTTATAAGATGTCAACATGTCGCTTCTGAGATTATGTGCCTTTGCCAAATGCTTAGGTCGTCGCGGTTTTCTACAAACGCCCGCCGTTCGGACGTCTTTTGCTGACGACTGTCAGCTATGTTCGTCCCTGAGAAACCGGACCGGACGCAGGCAAATAACAGGTCAGCTGGAGATGGTTCCTCCACAAGCGTTAATGTCACCATGTTGGTGTATTCCCATAATCAGCATCTTAGTGTGAACAAAGTTGTGTCTTTAGGTTTTTGAAGTGCAGCGTGACTTTAATCAGTACAACAGTATCATTTCTCAATGAAATGGCAGTTAACCTGTAAGAAGGTCGTACATGAGTTTGTAGTTAAGCATAAAAGAATACAGTGTACTTTGATAGTTACTGCACCTTTGTTTAAAAAGTATTTGTAACAGAAAACCGAATGTGTAAATTGTTACGTTTGTATTGTTTTATAATACAGCGAGGATATGTTTGAAATAAAAATCTGCATCCCAAGAACCCATACTTTATTAAACAAATAACTATAAACAATACATAACCTTGTTGTAATAAACGGCTGTATGACATTTGTTGTTGTGCTTTATTTGCAGGTACAGCTGTCCACAATCAGAGAACAAACGTTTCCTTTGTTTTCCCAAAGAAAGAAGATGTAAGGAAACGTTTGCCGGAACATTCCCAACTATTAGATGGTAGGTTGTCGTCCTTACCAAGTTACAGCTTCGACCACTCTTTGTGGCTGTGGTATCACAATATTAAGAAATATGAGGATACCTTTTATCCAGGCCACATGTTTGCCTTGTGTTTTATTTCTGAATTTTTGTGCTTTTTTTTTTTTCATCTGACAGTGCTTGAAGCCAGGGTCCACCAACTCCTAAGTCATGTTACAGATGTCCCACATGCTCAGGTTCCGTTTCATCGACCGCCCTCTTCTAAAAATATTATTTTATCAGGCATCAGTCCCAATAAACAACCCCAAAAGGTTACAGACAAACCTAAATCAAAAGTTAAAGCAGATGCCAAATCTCTGACAAGTCCCTGGAAACAAAGAATAAGTCAGGAGAAGAAAACCCGTCTTATACAACAGCAGCACCTACGGAATGTCAAAATTGATCCCAGCAAAATCATGTCATCTGTGCATCATGACATAGCACACAAAACAATATTTTTGACACCTAAAAAGACTGCAACGTCAACAAAAATAATGAGCAAAGTCAAGAAGGTATCAGATAAAAATGATGCTAAAGCAGCCATTCCACAAACAGCTACATCGACAGTCACCAAAGGTGCTGGGGAAGTCTCTAAAAAGCTCAGTAAAATGGAGCAAAAGCCATCTAAGAACAGTACTAAGGAAACCACAGAGGAGGCAGCTAAAATGGAAAAGCCAAAGACCAGTCTCCGACAGAAGCTAAACCAGAAAACCACTGCAACATGTCCACAGGAGGGTGCTAGAGGATCTGCATCTGTGGAAGTCCGACACTCCGTCCGTGCCTACTTGGAGGCATGTTTGTTTTCAGGCAACATTGACACGGGCCACAGTTTTCTGCTGAAACTGCACAGAATGGAGGACCGACGGAAACATCTGAACACAGATATTTACAATATCCTGATGAGCGGCTGGGCGAAGAAGGTCAGCATGAAAATGTTTGTTGTAGTTTGTCGACTGTAAACAAAAGTAAAGGAATGCCTCATATGGTTTTGTTATGAGTGGTCCAATAGGTCATTTTAAAAATTATAAAATGTAAAGAGTCACCCAATGTTGGGTATAATAATGTCAGACAGCCTTTTAGAGCTTATTCTGTCTGGAATGTTCAAATGTATTCTTTATAAAGAGTTGGAGAACATACAACAAAAGGGTTGAACAAAGTGACCCAAGATGGCCCACTTTTTGTTTTTAAACAAAGTTCTTAGACCTGCCCCTAATGTTCATTAAAAACACTGTTATACTCTTTATGTAAATGTTACCTCTACTCTTCTGCAAAGATTACATCAGTAAAATGTTTTTTTTCTGCCAATGGAATGCATGAAGAAAGAATATAAATCTTTCATCTCAGTGGAACATTAATGTAAATGAATATTATAATGAAACAAACAAACTTATTTTATGTGTTTCATGAACTGTTCTTTACTGTGCCCAAGTTTAATGCTGTTGTTTGTTCTCACTGTTTTTAGGGCTCATTAAACAATGTTGGCCAACTGTTTATACTCTTAGAGGAGGCAGCTCTGAAACCAAACCTGGGATCTTACTCTGCTGCACTGGAGTGTATGGGCCGCTGGGTCACCTGCCCCTCCAAGGTCATTACCAGGTACTGGTTCACATGCACACCCCACATCTACAAAACATACACTGAATTGTTAGCTATAGCAACGTAAATGTGATTTAATATATAATGACACGATTAGCAGGACAGCAGTACGCAGAGCCACCAGCAGAGGTCGTACTACCACCATAAGTGTTACATTGCCTTCTCTCTTAGTTCTTATTAGTTTCCACCACCTCTCAAAATCTACAGTTATGCTGAAAGCATCAAACTATACTCCCTTTTTATTTTGTTTCCTGTGTTCCTTGGGTTACACGCCCCTCCCGCTCTATCCAAACAGAACTGACTTTTGTCTCATTCAAATAATATAATTTTACAAACCTGTGAAAAGCAGTTTAACTTCAGAGAGCATGCAGACTTAGTGTTAATTAGATTAGCTTTATGAGTATTTTGAGCACTACCATTAGCAAGCGCAGGCCAAAACACTAGACATTTTCATAAGAGGATGAAAACTTTAGTTGGTTAAAAACCTGCAGCGTGGTTGTCAGTGGTTTATTGTGTTGTCAAAAATACAGGTAGCAGTTCAGAGGGAAGAACATGGTTGAAAAAAAATCCTGTCCTTTGTTATTATATCAAATAGAAAAATGGAGATTTACAAGAAATATTGATATATATTTTGGCCTGCATCTCTCCTGATATTTCTACAGCTTCTAATGTTTAAGTTTTCCTCCCACAATAGAACAGTCATCTATGCACACTCCAGGTTCTTTCTGAAGGGAGTGCCATGTCCTCTAGAGTTCTTTGCTCCCTAGGGTGCAGCTGAGTAGTCACCACACTGATTAAACTCTTTTTTTTTTAAACCTGTCTCCCCTCCTTGTCCCTGGGAATGACACAACCAACCTGATTAATCCCCCTTTTGTTCATGGCTCTCTCATTTACGTAGAATGAAATTACTTTTTGGCATCGACATAAAATTCTAATTTGAAAAAATACCATTTGGATTTCTTGTGAAATAAAAAACATATACAAACGTCACACTTGTGACACTTCCTCAATTTGATTATTCATTAATAATAATCCATTATTATTGTGCTTCCTCATTATATAGCGTGTGAAGTCAGTGAAAATGTGTTAATGTTTTCAAAAGCTATTTTATTTTGAAAATTTTAATCCACAATAAAGTCAATAAAATTTAAGATTAATGGTGAAACTGCTGGGATTAACACCTGAGAGGAAGTGGTCATTTTTTTCAAATAATACCCAACTCTATAAATACCCAAATAAATGCAAAAATGTTTGATTTATCATTCATAACTTTTAGTCCTGTTACCTTTTTCTTCCTGCAGTGGGTACAGAAAGTGTTATTGTAAACACAACACCCCATATTGACAGAAAAACAATTGTTTTAACAAGATTTATTTAAAAAAAAAAAAAAAAAACTGAAATACCACATGGTCATAAGTATTTTGCTTTGCTCAGTATTTAGTAGAAGCACCCTTTTGATCTAATACAGCCATGAGTCTTTTTGGGAATGATGCAACGAGTTTATCACACCTGAATTTGGGGATCCTCTGCCATTCCTCCCAGCAGACCCTCTCCAGTTCTGCCAGGTTGGATGGTGAATGTTGGTGGACAGCCATTTTCAGGTCTCTCCAGAGACGATCACTTGGGTTTAAGTCAGGGCTCTGGCTGGGCCATTCAAGAACGAAATTGTGGTGAAGCCACTCCTTGGTTATTTTAGCTGTGTGCTTAGGGTCATTGTCTTGTTGGAAGTTGAACCTGAGGCCCAGTCTGAGGTTCTGAGCACTCTGGAGAAGATTTCGGTCCAGGATATCTCTGTACTTGGCCGCATTTATCTTTCCTTCGATTGCAACCAGTCACCCTGTCCCTGCAGATGAAAATGGACAGGTGATGAGCAGTGCCTGGTTTTCTCCACACATACCACTTAGAATTAAGGCCAAAAAGTTCTATCTTGGTCACATCAGACTAGAGAATTTTATTTCTCACCATCTTGGAGTCTTTCAGATGTTTTTCATGTGTCTTGCTCTGAGGAGAGGCTTCCGTCGGCCACTCTGCCATGAAGCTCCGACTGGTGGAGGGCTGCAGTGACATTTCACTTTCTACAACTTTCTCCCATCTCCCGACTGCATCTCTGGAGCTCAGTCACAGGTTCTTCTTTACCTCTCTCACCAAGGCTCTTCTCCCACGATTGCTTTTAAGGATTATGGAGGCCACTGTGCTCTCAGGAACCTTAAGTGTAGGAGACATGTTTTTTTTGTAACCTTGGCCAGATCTTTGCCATGCTACAATTCTGTCTCTGAGCTTAAGGGGCAGTTCCATTGACCTCATGATTCTCATTGTCTCTGACATGCACTGTGAGCTGTAAGGTCTTATATAGACAGGTGTGTGACCTTCCTAATCAAGTCCAATCAGTATAATCAAACACAGCTGGACTCCAATGAAGGTGTGGCACCCCCTCAAGGATGATCAGATGAACTGGACAGCACCTTAAATATGAGTCGACAAACTACAACAAAGAGTTAAATATGAGTGTCACAGCAAAGGGTCTGAATACTTAGAACCATGTGATATTAGTTTTTCTATTTCAATAAATCAATAAAGCAAAAATGTCAACAACTGTGTTTTTCTGTCAATATGGGGTGTTGCATGTACATGGAGGAAAAAAATGAACTTAAATGATTTTAGCAAATGGCTGCAATAAAACAAAGAGTGAAAAATTCCGTACCCACTGTATACCACTAATATCTATTACCCTTTAAAGTGCAGACGACTGGAGAAACAGGCTGTAATTAACAATTCACTTGTCTTTTTAGATGCCACATCTCTCTGTAATTTGTAGGAAAAAAATGTTCTGTTGCTGCCCTAATTTGCATTCTTTGAAATTAGAATTATCTGCAGGTCAGTCTGTGTACCTGTGGATTCTTTATTCCTGACTTTCTCAGGATCTGTCAGATCTAGTTGGACTTTTGCACTGTTTGTCTCTAGTGTTAAAGCATCTATTTACACTTAAGGCCTGATACAGTAAACATCCTCATATGCAGGTGCCTAGATCAGATGAAGAAGGAGGGGCTGTCTGTGGACGATCTGTTCAGCCAGTGTGTGTTTCACCATGATGAGAAAGACATGGTGCTTAAGGCAGTGCATGCGGTCCATCCTGAGTATCAGCCTCAAATCCAGCAGACAACAAGCCAGTTCAGTCTACCCCTGGTTAACGACTTCTACACACAGGTACTGCACCCACTGTTCCATCATCGTCTGTTCGCCTGCAAAGACAAAGAGACAAAGCCCTACTAATACATTAGAAGTCCTTTTAAAAAGCACAAAGGAAAAGCTGATTTGAACTGAAGCCAGGTTTAACAAAAGATGCCTTTTTAACATGAAAGGCAAAATGATATATATCCGTATGTAGTAAAATTTTTTTTTTTTCCGATGTTCATTCCTGAAATTATGCCCAGTTATATAGCATTGTATTGAGCTATTCTTATTCTTAACATTAGATACTGTATAGAAAAAAAAAAAAAAGTAAATAAAGCAAAACGTTCTACATTGTTAAAATGGCAAGCTATACACTAAGTTAGTGAATGTTCATGACGCTCATGTTGCCAGATCAGGACAGATATTAAGACTGGTCCTGGTATTGGTAACGTGCACCATTATAATGAGTATATCTCAGCCCATTTTCTCACAGACAAAAGATCATATATATTTCTGTGTGTCTGTTCTTGTTTCTTTGTGTCTTAGAGGGAAAATCACCAGTACCCCAAACTGCACTTGACTCAGGCAGAGCTCCTGGCGGGTTTCAAACGCCAGCTCAGCATGGAGCTGGCCTGCACTGTCACCATCAACTCTGTAGAGGCTGCCAAGCCTCTCACTGAAAACATGGCAAAAATGGTAATTAAGCTCACCTCTTACCTTCCCTCATCTCTGTGTAGTGTTCCAGTGTTGATGCCCGGTTTACGCTTCCTCTGCCAAAACATTGTAAAAGTAACAAGGTGTAAAAGAGACGTGGAAGACAGATGGAGGGAAATATACACTGGTCATTAAATCCTGCATGTTCTATGTGTATATATTAACAAATCGTTAAATAATGACACAAGTATTTAGAAATGCAACACCCATCGGTTCCATTAAAATAAAAAAGTGGTATTTGAATTTATACGACAGAAAACACTGAGATTTCATTTAACTGAATTTACAAAACTAGGAATTCATTCATGTTTTAACCTTTAGACGTGGCAGGTATTTGTTTAAATATAAATGTTTTTAGATCCTTTTTGTCTCAAGGATGAGGATAATCTCTTCTCCCTTTTCAAAACTTACAATAATGTCAAACCCTTTCAATCCAAGATGCATCTTATTGCTACTTTATTCCCCCTCAGTATGGTATTTACAGTCCAGACTGGATTTTTCTGCCTCCACAAATAGAATTTATGGAATGCAAGCCGGCTGAGAATTCCCTGTTGTCAGGAGACAACAAAATAGAATGTATTATAACGTAGGCCGTAAGGGACCTTACCCAGTGTCGCCCTCCGCCCTGTTTCCAGACTGTGCTTTACACTTAAGCTGTATTGAGATTTTCTTTCTGGGCCCTGGTCAGTAGACATTGTGATTCTAATTTTGGTTCCACTTTGACCCGTTGTGTTTTCAGAGGGAGCATTTGAATAATCTGAATAATCAGTGGCATAAAACCCTTCTGAAGGCCTTCAGGGAGAAAAAGATGATCCTCGTAAAGACCAGCACCAAGTACCAGAGCCTTTATCCTTACCTGTGTCTGTTGGAGGATAAAGACTACGTAAACATGATGATACAGGTAAAACAGTCCACCTATCTCAGGCTGCTACTGCAAATACAGCACCTAGTACTGTATATATCCAACTTTAACTCTGGCATTAAAATGATTTTTTTGGGATTTTTACAGTTCAGAAGTTGGCACATTTTGAAATTCATATATCTGATATATCTGCCATGTAACTGTGGTCTTTTTTGTCCAGAGTATTTCAACCCTGCTTCCCACTGGATTGACGCTCACAGCTTATGCTTCCAGTCTGGGAACGCGGGTCTATACCAAGTACTGTGTGCTTAGAAAACAACAGAATCAGATGGTGCAGAAGTTGGGAAACATTTACAAGAGATACGCACAGCTGTTGGCCAACAATACCCAGGTAGGATGATTTAATCTTTCTTGTTGTTTGATTTCATGTTTGTTTGGATAATTATTTAAACTTTAAAGTTTGGGTTTTTAGCCTTCAGACAAATTGACAGTTAAACTGCAAATGTTTGAATGATCTGTGGTTTTGGTGGAGAGAAAACAATAATTCCTCTGTTCTCAGTGCTTGCTTGACAAATGCTATTTTTTAGTGTTACTTGCATTATCTCTCTTTTTTCATAGATTTGACTTCATCATAGTTTATGCTCTGGAATCACGAATAGGGATGTAATGATGCTCACAACTCACAACACGATATGATTCACAAATTCTGGTCCGCAGCCTACTCCTTATGCGTATGCGCGACTAATGCAAATTGACACACATTTGTATTGGTTTTTTTTTAATCAATCCACGATGCATCATTACATCCCTAGTCGTGAAAAATATATTCACAGCAATGAACTGAAGTAGCCTTCTTCTGATCATCTGCCTCCAGACATATACCACCCTTCCCAGGGAGCATTGGTGTCAGCTGGAGACGGAGCAGAATTTAGGACTCAGAATGGAACATGGTGCAGAGAAAGGCTGGCCAGATGTTGTTACACTAAAGCTGGGTTCTTACCTGGTGGATTTGATCGTGAAGAACCTCAAGATTCGCAGTGACATTCTGAACCCAGCCGAAAAACAGGCATTGATCCCCATCCTCTACCACATGTACACCTTCCGCAACTTTCAACAGGTACAGTTGATCCACCGCGAGGACTTCATCGCGGCTGGTGCTTTCTATGATAGAATCAAATCAAAGTTTGATTTAAAACCACTAAAAATATTTTTCAAGAATTTAATCAGATAAAAAAAAAACGATTATAAGTTGATGAGGAAAAAAACGTGTGACCTTGAAATCAGTTCAAACTATTTAATATATGCTGAACGTATACATAAGAAGCAGGGAAAGTCTGATTAAAGACCGACCAAGTAAGGTCAAAGTTACTCCACAGTTAACTTGACGTTCTTATTAAGAAGAAAAGAGGGGAAGTGGATTTGGAATAATGAAAATAACTGGAAACACTTGACCTTGGCAGGAGTGTCAGCTATCCTGAAGCCTTTCACCTCAACATTCAAACGCGCTTCCTCCCCAGCTTTAAGCCTAAATAATGAGTAAATTCTAAAAGGCATTTCATCCCAGCATGAATCGACAGGGTTGAACTGTGGACAAAGATGAAGAGGATCCAGGCTAATCCCTTTTTTAGTGACTCCTTAATTGGCTGGCAGATTTAGCATGACGAGACTCTGCAGGTGGGAAGACCCAATGAAAGGAGAGAGAACATGGCAGATTCTGTCATTTTCTGAAGGCCTTTGACAAAAATGCAGTGATTTACCAGCAGTCACTAGCCACATAGATTTACCTTGTTTATTGTAACTAAGCTGACTTTAACCCTTACAGAATGTACACCAGTGGCGTACCGCCATGTCCTCCTGCTTAGGTGTAACCCCGTTGATGTTTCTATATTTGATGATTTATTTTTTTTATCCTATAGTCATTTCTTTTGTCTTTGTTGATCTCACCAGATCGGCTTCATCAAGCCTCACCCCATTCTGACTCAGATCCTGAGCGATGCAGTGGAGACCACGTTGACCTTCGACTCCTACATCATGCCTATGCTGTGCCCTCCCGTGCCCTGGACTTCTGCGAGCTGTGGGGCTTACCTGCTGACGCCGACCAATCTGACACGTGCGGTGGACGGGGGGAAACAACAAGATGAGTTGGAAAAATGCCCGAACCTTGATGCAGTCCTGGACTCTCTCAACACGCTGGGGAATTGTGCCTGGAGGATCAACAAACCAGTGTTAGATATTATTGTCTCTGTCTTCAATGACCGGGGCAGTGATAAGTTGAATATCCCACCACCACTGTCAGAGGCTCCTCAAATACCCAACCTCAGCTTTCAAGATCCTGCTAACAAGGCAGCTGAGAGGAACAAAATGAGAGATGAGGCCAATAATGCCAGGAAAAAGAGGAATGAGATGCACAGCCTGCGCATGGAGGCTCTTTACAAACTCTCTATTGCCAATTGTCTGAGGGATGAGATTTTTTGGCTGCCTCACAACATGGACTTTAGGGGACGGACATATCCCTGTCCACCGTACTTTAACCACCTGGGAGGGGACATGGCTCGTTCCATCCTTGTGTTTGCAGAGGGCAAACCTCTCGGTCCCAAGGGTCTGGACTGGTTAAAGTTACACTTAATCAATCTGACAGGTGTCAAAAAGAAGAGTTCACTGCAGGAGCGTCTGGAGTACGCCAACACGATCATGGAGGACATTCTGGACTCTGCTGACAACCCTCTTGATGTTAGTCTGTCTTGTTATTTTCCCACGTTCAACTAAGAAATTGGTGATCGTTAGTCTGTACATTCTGCCAAGCATATAGATGTTATATTATAGGATCTAGTAATATTAAAACAAATGACCAGCTCTATTGAAGTATACACAATATGTAACCATATACCTGTTGTTGTCTCCAGGGTAGGAAATGGTGGATGACTGCAGATGAGCCTTGGCAGGCTCTGGCCTGCTGCATGGAGATAGCCAAGGCCGTAAGGTCCCCTGATCCAACACAGTTCATCTCGGGTTTTCCTATACATCAGGTACTGGTTAAACACAAACCACAAAAAGGAATATTTAGCTTTTGAACGTCTTACGTAAAAGTGAGATGAACATGTTTCATGTCATTTTTTATTAGTTGAGCTGAAGCTCCTGTTTCTTGTTGTTCTTTGTTATCCCTGCCTTTAACTGATCTGCGAGACCCTGCCCTGTAATAGCATTATAATGTAGTAATGTTGTATCAATATTCCTTCTCTCCACCAGGATGGTTCCTGTAATGGCCTCCAGCACTACGCTGCTCTAGGCAGGGATGTTATAGGTGCCACGTCAGTGAACCTCGTGCCCTGTGACGTGCCTCAGGATGTGTACATTGGAGTTGCTCATCAGGTCAGGAAACACTGGACATTTGACATTTGATCAGTCTTCATGTCTGTTTAAATTAGTCAAAAACTTCTTTGACAGGTTGATTGCTATAAGACACTACAGTCTCACTGCCATTGATACACAAAGTAATAGCCTGTATCAGCACAGCAGAATACATGCTTTCCTGATCAAGAGCTTACATTATAACATTGGTATATGGTCCATATCCCCTTGAGTCTTCAGCTCCTGTCCAAGGCTAAGTGTATACCAGCTTTTCTTTGTTTGATCTGGAGCTCCTCAGAGTCTTCACCAAAGGGCCCCTGCTCTAGGAAAGCAAATAGATGTTTACTTATTAAGAACACAGATGCTGTTACACACATTCTCTATTGACCATCAGGCCTAAGAACCTCTTCTGCATGTGTTCAGGTTCTGTACAACAGAATTACATAGTAATTATAATATTCACCAATGCTGTTTATGCCACTATATAAAACAATTATTTTCCTGGCGCTATAGTCTCTTTGTATATGTTGTTATCCTCAGGCTCTGTTTGGCCTATTGACCAATTACAACCTCAATAAATTGCATTTAATATTATTGGCTAATGCAATTTTTTTCCAGTAGCAAAATCACCAAACATCAACAACATTTAATTACCTTTGTATTTAAATGTTTTAACTAAATTAAGTTTATATCCCGAGGAAAGACAACAAAAATCAGTGATAAAAATGTCATTCAATGAATAAACATGTTTTATGCCTCTCTTTTTCAGGTGGAAGCCCTTCGAGCGGAGGATGCACAGACAGGTTTAAAGGTGGCCCAGGTCTTGGAGGGCTTCATCAGCCGGAAGGTGGTTAAACAGACTGTGATGACTGTGGTTTACGGGGTCACACGCTATGGAGGACGCCTCCAGATACAAAAAAGACTGGAAGAGATTGATGAGTTCCCCAAGGTACTTTGGACAAGGGGCTTCCCTGTTTCATCAAACCCTGTTATTTTTAGCTTTGCAGCAGTCTAACCTCTTATAGGACAGAATGTTGAGCTTTTGTTTCACCTTCCTCACAGGCTATAGGTTGGTACATATTAATGATGCTCACAGTAGATAGACTTAAAAAAACAAGTTATTCCCCTTTGAACTCTAGCCTCCTATTATATTGTTATGTGACACGTAGTAGTATACTGACATGACATCCGGAGGAAAATCAGTAACGTTTGACCTTGATATTGTAATACATAATATTATAATACAATAGGAGAGATTGATTCCCCAGATAAAAAAACAGGAAAGCAACTCGCAGGCTCACTTGGCAGTGATTCTTATTGATGTGTCTCTGTCTTTGAGCCAAAATAACATTGTAACAGTAGGCTGATGTTGCAAACATCGTTTGAGTATGCACGTGTATTGGGTATTGTGAAATTAAATATTATCTGGCTGAATCAGAGAGGCCATGCATGCAGTGTAGCTGAAAGTGGAATGTTGGGTATCAGTGCACAGTTACGCCTGATCTATTTTTAGCACAAAACCAGACGTGGTGATTTGGTCTACTGATGGGTGGAATGACTCCATTATATTTAATCTTCTTACAGCACTGTAGTGCTTATTGCCTGTCAAAAAGCTACTCTATATTGTCCCTCACAGTCATTCCCTTGCATAGAGATCAGTTTGCCTCACTGTTGGTGTGTCCACTGGCTCTCAACTGAAGGATTGTGCTTAAGGACTTGAGCCTAATTTCATCGTTATTTAAAGTGAAAATGTAATTGTTGGAGTAATCAAATACAGAAACAAATTTATTAACAGAGCAATATCTATACAATGATTATTTTACACAGAGGAATTGCATTTGCATGAAAATATAAATATTTGTATTTATATGTAGTAACACAGTAAAGTACTTAACATTATAAGCTTCACTGTGACTTGCTTTCCAGGAGTATGTCTGGGAAGCATCCAGCTACCTGGTACGACTGGTGTTCAGTGCCTTGAAAGAGATGTTCACAGGAACCAGAAAGATTCAGGTGAGTTCCTCACAGCTAAGGGAACGCCAAACCATCTACTTTATACCACAGTTTGTGGGGTATAATACAAACTGTATTCATTTACCCAGCTGTTAAAAATATACACAACTTTCACAAATACTGTGAATATTTTTAGTACGAGAAACATCTCAGTCCATGTTTAATGAATGGATTCGGCAAGAAAAGCCCACCTTGATTCATAAATAGAACTCTTCCACACACTTTCCTGAATTTAAATGTGTCCAAGAAGCAAGTCTAAGTTTTGCAGACTCTTCTTTTACTGCAGTTCCTCACTACTGACCTTGATTCACAACTGATGTTAGGCTCTTCTTATTAATGGCCAGTTTACTTGGCCATTATCCTGCCAACGCTTTATCACACAGACTTTATTTTTAGATGTTCAATGCACACCTGCGGAGGATAATGGAACCACCACCCACTGCTAGACTGCACGTGTCCTCTGGGAAATGTTCAGGCATGACCCAGTCTGGGATGAAACATTTCTGTGCTGTCGTACGTCATTGTCTCTCACAGTACTGGTGTGGTCATCTCTGATGTCACAGTTACTGTATACTGTCTGGATATTGTAGCTTCATTTATCCACCATTTCTGTTGTCTTTACCACCTCCGTCTCCCTCTTACCAGTCTGTTAGTCAATGTCCCTAGTAGTAGTTCCATATAGCTTTTTTCATATCTGATACTGATACTGCAATTTGGAGTATCTGCCAATACCTGAAAATTGGCCTAAGTAGTATCAGAATGAGCCGTCCCCACTCTCTACTGCTGATCTCTCACTCCTGCCCTTCTTTGTTTTCATGTGTGTCCAAAAATACATATATGGAAGAGATAATGATGAATGAAACAGCTTTAAGGCAGGCTGTTGCCTTAAGTCAACAGGATCTATTTATCTTTTTTACGCTGCACTATGTGGATGTATAGAATGAGGCACCTGTGGTCCAATAATAGAGTTTCTATATCTGGAGACAAACTGTGCCGCGGCCCAGACAGCACTGTTGCATTTATACTTGTAGAATTAGTAACAGTCTCTCACCTGTTCCTCAGCTGCAGTACTTTTCTACTATAGTTTGCAGTTCTTTAAAGAAGGGCAGCAACAAGCCCTAAATGCATCAAATTGTTCCAAAAGCACCAAAGTGTCATGTGGTTGTATGAAGGAATTCAGGGTATTTAACAATAACATTAGGAACATGTGGAAAAACTAGTACACTCTTAAAACTAAACACTAAACATTTCACTTTTATGAGACTGTGTAGCCCAGACTTGACCTATGTTGGCTTTCTCCTATTCCAGGATTGGTTGACAGAGAGCGCCAGGCTAATATCCAAGTGTGGCCACACAGTGGAGTGGGTGACACCCTTGGGTTTACCCGTCATACAACCCTACTTCCGCCGACGCACCCAAGTGGTAATTCTTATCTAAAGACATTAACCATCTTCTATACAGTGTTTTTTTAGTAATGTTTACACCATCTAATGCTTCTTTACATACTCTATAATAACTGAGTAAATATAACTGAAAATGTCAAATTAGAAAAAAAACCTAGGTGAAGGGCAGACTACACTTTTTGTGATTGATTGTAATTTTGTTTTACCAATTTTGTTGTTTACTGTTGTATGAAATCTGTTAATACTCAACCTTTCTGAGGCTGGTTTTTCATCATGTCAGTGCTAACAGCTATATTGCAATTGTAGGCTGGCGTGTTTTGACTTACAGTACAGTAGCAGAGATCTTTAAAGAAACAAGTCATGTCAGTTTTATTGCATTACACAGAAAAGCTCAGTCGGCTAATGCTCGGGAGCCATATTAAAGGGCAAAAATTCGAGGAATATAGCACAGGCTATTATCCGCATAAAGTGCCACGTGACAACGTATTTGTCTGCTCTACAGAACTAGTTGGCGAGTTTTAACATCAGACGTCAGAATAATGGAACAAGATTTTCTTAATACATTTTCGGGAGATGGTGACATAACCACGGAACGCCATAGTTCGAGAACAGCCTGTAGTGTCAAAATTAGGTTACGGCTTAAGATCATGACATTACTGAAAAATATAGAGAAATGCAGAGTGATGCCAAGCACTCTGACACAGTGAGGGTCAGACTGTCCCAGTGTGCTTATGATTTCCTAGCAGAAGGCTAACTCTGGGGGGGTATGAACGGTGCATATGCAGGAGAGTGAAGGTGAAAGACTGTTAGTGAAGAGAACTGATGTAGTTTATCTCTTCTTTTAATAGAAAACTTGTAAACATAGGTACCATTTTCCATTGCAAAAGAAAACATACACCAGTCATATCAAAGTGCAATAAAATGAAACTAAATTGCATCAAAGTCACCTTTAATTTAATTCTTTCACTTCCAACATATAACTTAAGATAAAGACCACAGTGTCTCAAAGGGTTATTAGTCATTAAAGTGAAGATTTAGAGTCAAAGGAAAAAATTAAATTAACTGTAATGGTATCACATAATCAGAGATGATTGTTTTCGCGTAAGCTAAGGCTGCAATGAGGTGAAGTAATGAGAGTAGGATGTACCATTAACATACATTATACATCACAGAGGATGACTAACAGGATTTGAAGGCAATAATAAGGGTAGAGGTCACGCTTTCCTTGTTTATTTTCTACCCTCCTACATAGTAAGGTTACAGAGAGCATTTCACTCTCTGAGGATAGTGACACATGGGAGCTGTCAGTTGTATTGCCTAAATTTAATTGGTTCTGTGAAAGGTTTTCCAAAATGGGTGTCCTCTAAACGGAGGTCAGCACAGTGGAGGGGGTTCAGCTCAGTTTTTAACCCAGGTGACCTTCCTGACACACTCCTACACCAAGGTTGGGCAGTCGGAGATCTTCTTCACAACACAGGACTCTGAAGTAAAACCCAAAAGTGCTTTTATTTTAATATACTTTTGGGCACATTTAGCAATAATAACCATTAATTTACTTCAAAGGAAATGCAATATTCAAGTTTCCAAAAGCCAGTGTTAAGAACCACTGCTTTTCTTTTTTCACTGCATAATTGCTCTGTGATTGTCTTGGTTTTTGTATTTAGATGACAATCTACGTTTTAATGTGCACCCATTTCCCTTCAACAGTAATTCTGAGGAACGATCTCTAAAGGTCAACACGGTGCCCTTTGTGACTCACTTTGCCTTCGATAAGAAACAAGCCCTTCCTTAGCCAACGCTATGTTTAGTTGATCTTGCAAAATCTTGTGGCATTTTTGGGGTGTAATAATGAATGCAGTTTGACTTTCAAGGATACCCGAGAGAGGCGGTAAAAAAGAGTTTGGTGGAAAGGAGTTCTGGAACAGGTTGCTAAAACTGTGGCGACTCTTGGCTGTCTGTGGGACTGTGAGTCCACAGCTGTCTCCCTCTGTGCTCAGGGGGGAGGAAATGGGTAGAGGACCAGGTGACCTGGAAAACCACAATAGTGGGTGTATATAACACACATGTCAGACCTGCTACTTCTCAGTAAATGAGATGTGCTATTAACCAACATATGATGAATGGGGGATTCCCCTGGATGCAGCAGGGCTCATATATGGCTATGGTTGGCTCGTGTCCACGGCCATCTGTAACATTCAGGTGACAAAGACCGCAAAGGCCTTTCCTCCACAATGACAGAGTGGAGTGAGCCAAGGTCTCATTCATCAAAGTCTTAGGCTTTGAGTCAGGTAGTGTACACAGATCATACACATATTTATTATATTGAACAGGCGTGCAGCATATAGCAGTGACCCCATTTACAGTGTGGCAGTCCATTACTCACATCAAGGAGACGTTCCTGCCCCTTTTCTCACACCCTTTTCTCTATCGACCTAATCCGCAAGGACGTAGAGATGGAATGTGAAGCTTAAATTGATGGACAGATCTTCACCCACATTCCCTTTAGAGGATGGTGGATGAGATAGCAGCCAAGGCAGGAACTAAAGGGGATTCACCACCACTGTAGATCTATTTTTCAAAGCACCTCAAGATAATTGTCTGATTCTGTCATTTGTCACACACTGGCCTTGAGGTAACGGATTGATTCAACAAAAACCAAATACTCACTATTTTTACTGTTCTTCAGTTTGTTTCTGTTGATTCCATAGATCGTTAATAAAATTAGTAGGGCTGTGAAACGATTAAAACATTTTGCTCTATAAGGACTAGATGCTAGATCAATATTTCACTGACTTGCAGTGACAGTGTACTTTTTTGCTGTGGATGACATTTACAGAATATTTTTTTGGGCAATATTTTTTTATTATAGTAGTCTTCCAGTTCAAACTTTAGAGGAGTTTTTCTTGCCTGATGGGAAAAAAATTCTCTCACTAGTTTTCAGACTGAACTTTTCTTTAGCTCTTTCATTCATAATGAAACATTCTTTAGCACTTTACCTCAGATACAAATCATTCATTCAGCACTGTCAGTTTTTCATTTAATTTATGCTCTGCTGAAGGCAATAACAGTAAAATTACATTGATTCATGTTTTTGTTAACAATGAGTTACTGATAACAGGTAATAGATTTGTTAACTGAAAGTGTCACCTGACAGTGCCTAAATAGAGCGCTTCATGCCCCAAATCCTTTTTGTTAATACTATCTTGAATGAAGTTGAGAAAACAGAATGTAAACGCAGGTTAATTATTGGAATTTTGATTATTTTATTGTGGGCTGACATTTCATGTCCTCATCTCTGTTTACACATAACAAAAGGAATTAATTGGTTAGTTTGTTTTTTCATTTGCATTTTAATTCAATAGTTTTTTCATTAGCAGCACATATAAAAAATGTTATTGTTTGAATAAGTTATCTAGAAGGAAAATTAGCTGAATATACAATCAAAACACTTAAATTAAACATGTCTGTAGAGGTTTATCTCCCATCTGCTCGATAGTGGCCTATCATTCCCACCAAGGCTGAGATCCAAGGGTCATTGAAAGCGTTGCCCCTGTTGCAGTTGCCTTGGCAGAACTCGCAGCATAGGAGATTAGATGGCTATGTTTATTGTACACAGAACAGGAGCAGGTTGAATTTTGACGGCGTCCTTGAAAACTAAATTAGGTTAAGCTTAGCTGACATTAAATTACATCTATATTATAAAATTTTAATTTTCATCTCAGAGCCTATTTCACTTCGCCTTGCTGTTCTGACACAGGGCACAGCAGTGACTGTGCCCTGTTTTCCTAGGCCTTGATTTACCCTGCTTTTTATGGCTTTAGGTTACTTTTGCTTTTTCTAGGATTCTTCAAATAATATTGGGGAAAAACAGGAACGTAATCCAATTTATCCTAAAATAAATTATCATAGTATATAGGTCATTTTGAAGCAAGCAGCTGCAGGTGTGATCTGATTTTATAGAGGAACTTTTAAATCAACCATGGCACCGTGAGTGTTGTTTTTTACACATGTACCAACAGGGGGTCCTCGACTTTTGTTGAAATTCCGTTCCATTTGTGCGACATAACTTGATTTAAAACCATGGAGCCTCAGGATTAATATTTACCTAGTTGGACAAAAAATATCATTGTTTAGTAAATGTTGGTGTCTTTTAGCTTACAGTGATAAATAAGCAGCTAATAAATGTATGTCTTCATTTCCATATTTGCAGTAATTTGAGTAAGTGGTATTATTGTATGAGTACACCTAACAGAGCTGAAATCTTTAACCAGTGTGTTTTGTTGTTTTTTTGCCTCCACAGGTTAACAGTCCCCTACAGAAAATCAACCTTCACATGCATGACATCAATGAGTAAGTTGTCCCCATCTCCATCTTCCAGTTTTAGTTTTTAACTCACTAACTCCAACTGCACTTCACTACTTCTTTTGCTCCCGGCACTCATTGACATTTGTGGGCCGAAAATGTCACCAGTTAGTTTGATTTTAGTAAGGTGGAACAAGGTCAGAGTTTGGCAGCAGAGCAGATCGGTCGGTTCACATCTGTAAATTGTGTAATTGGACACCAAGTAGAAAAGGTTTATTAGTTGACATTGAAGCAACAAAAGGATTTCACTTGAAAAGTAAAGGTTAATATTTTAATATTGCTGCTACAATTTTAAGATATTCATCTTACTGGGTGAATATCTTAAACTGCTAAATAAATTGTGTCACAATCACATTTACAAAATCCTGAATAGAGGTCAACTTCAGGTTCATTGAATAAAAAAGTAAACCCTTAGTTAAGCCCTTTTAATCCAGCCTGCCGATCCAAATTTTATTATTTAATTATATAATTATTAGACTTCTGTCATTTTGCCTTTTCTATGCAGTGCCCACATTTTCCCAATAGATGGTGCAGGGGTGAGGTAAGGGGCCAGGGCCTTACCTCACCCCTGACCCCTTGTCAAATTTCAGAACCCATTGTGGCCCAATCGTCAAAAACTTTCCCTCCCTCCCTTGGTCTAGTTTGCACTTTAAATGACTTAAGCTACAAAAAAATAATAATGCAATAATTTAATAATTTTAACTTTATACAAATGTCACTTTTCTACACTGTGAAAAAGACTTCAGAAAACTCAGTAACAAATAGTATTTTCTTAGCAGTGAGGTGAGGTTCATGGCTGCTGAGGCACTGACTCCTCTGGAGTCAGATTTACAACTGTAAGAACCGAAAAGAGCATCTTATTTCACCATTCATCCAACAGCATGGTTCATATCCATCAGCATTCCTCATTCAATGACACTGACACCAATAGGAACATATACACAGGAACATATTTGACCTACAAAGAACGGTTCTTTTAAAGAAATGGACAGAGCAATTCATGTTTACTGTAAACAAGTTAAAGTATAGAGATGAGTGCAGCACAAATTTAATTTTGACCTACAGTTAACATTTCAGTTATTTTTTCAAACTAAATTCTGATGCTTTAATCACAGGTTGTCAATCAAAATGTTAAGAAAACAAAATATTTTAGGCCAAAATTTAGTTATCAAATACTTGAATTTACTCTACTTACTCCCATCTTATTTTTTAAAAACAAAAACTTGTTTTAGCCTTACCTTTATTTATAGATGTTTAGTCTCTGTTGCTCATCCAATGCCAAATTGATGCTTGAATTTCCAATTCATTTTTAAGGAATCTAGCTTTGGATGTGCGTGGCTGACCTTCATGTCTGCTGAGGCTTCTTTGCAAATGTTTCAGGTCACAATATCCCAAGTTGGTCCTGACGTTATCACACGATGAGAATAAAATGCAAGGAAAGCAGCAAAGGTGGTTTCTTGCAGGACAGACACACAGCCAGTCTTTTCGTTTGTACCAGTACATTTAAAAAGAACTGTTCCGTAGTTTGAAGCAAACATTTTAGCTCCGGCATTGGTCTTCCATCACTTGTCACCTTCCGTTTGGACCAGAAGTCCAGTTTTGAGACAAATATTTCTGTCTTGAAACAATCCATAGTCAGTAGGATCAGACAGAGCATAGAGAACGCTGTCCCTGACCTGCTAACTCCTGCATGGTGTTGACTTTCAATTGCCTGTTGAGGCCAGCTGGAGAGCACATGTCAATTCACGTGCGACCCCTTGTGGTGAGAGTACTGTTTGCTTCACCCTGCTGACTTTTCTCTGCACTTAGATAAATATTAATATTAAATATTAGCTCAACAAAATCAACACAATAAATTATGTAGTCATGAACATGTTGAAGTAGGCTTTAAGTGATACTCTATTACCAGTATTTGAATATGCTTCACTGTAGTCCAACAGGAACCATGAGTGGTTGAGCAGACAATCACAGGAGACTGACTGAGTGACACATCATTGACAGACGTCCATCTCTTTCTGACCTTTACTCTATACTCCAGACTCAGCAGCATAAATACTTAAGCAACAGCCATTGTTGGTGATGGATGGAGGAGATTGAAATCCTTAATGTGTTGGTGAAGGAGGAGGAGGAGGGAGCAGAACTGATTTATATCTTTTTCTTTTAGTAAGCTTCACAAGTGTCTTTGAGATTAAAAGGTGTTTTAAATGCATTTTTCTTTACATGATAACCAACATAAAGTGCAGGTTACATTAATGTGCTCCCTCCCAACTGCAGTCCTGCCTCGAGGCACAGTCAGGAGAACAGGAGCCATATGTGGCACACTCAAACACAGGCTGATCTCTGAAGGGACAGCTGTGACACTCAGAGAGAGCTTCAGAGTGATTGCTCACCCTTTGGGTACTGACTGTGCAGCTTTTCAGTCAGTCAGACTCATGGGGATTTGAAGGTGACATGTTTGTTAGGTGTGCGTGAGTGTCAATGTGACACAAACACACGTGAAGGAGAGAGATGGCCTTGTTTTACTTAATATCAGCTGAATGCTCCTGCAAATACATTTGATATGTTATTTGCAGCTAAACAATAAATCTGAAAGTAAACACTTTCCTCCGTGTATCAGTGTGTGTGTGTGTTTACCTGTGTGTTGTAGCTCTAACCCAGCTCCCTTGCTGCTGTTTGCATTTTCATTAGAGCAGCATTCTGGTTTGTGGCAGCCCAGAGGATTTGAATGGCATTGGGGATGTAGATTGGTCGGATGTGTTTTTCCTGCTAACTCCATTAACAGCAGCAGCGCAAGTGTTCTTATATCACCCAGGAAAATGACTATTCTATTTCATCTACATTTTATAGATTGACAGTATGAGTAGCAACAACAAAATGATGTTGAAGTTTCTACGTATAGAAACTCTTTGCATTTATACACAACTTTGTGATGCTGTTTTTAACAATAATAGTTAATAAATTGCATGTATTATTATTTTTCAACTTTTCCAATGGTTTTTCTTCACTTTCTTGTACTGAAAATTTAACCAAGCTTGTAGTGTAAACCTCCTATGATGCTGTTTACCCTTTTTGTACCTTTGTAATCTCTTAAAAGGGAAAAAAAGACAGCTGGGTTTACTAAAGGTTATCAATATCTGAAATATCTGAAATGAAAAAAAAAATCCATATTTGATTGTCCTTGTTTTTTCTGTCTCTTCACAGCAAACCTGATACAGTCAAACAGAAGAATGCGTTTCCACCAAATTTCATCCACTCCCTCGATTCCACACACATGATGCTGACCGCCCTCCACTGCAACAGGTATTATACATGTGCACACATTCTCCTAACACTTCACAGTTACATGGTTGAATTTAAAAGGTTATATAAATATGTACGTTGATCTTTTCTCCGAGCTTGACGTTAACAGTCTTTGGATATGTGACCTTTGAACATGAGCTGAAATGGTCTGACATGTCTGTTTATTCACAGTCAAGTCATTTAATGGAAACAGCATAGATTGTGACCACGCTGATTTAATTCTTATTGCCTAAATGTTCTCTCTCTCTCTCTCTCATTTCAATCCTAGCGCTGGCTTGACTTTTGTCTCAGTTCATGACTGCTTCTGGACACATGCCTACACAGTGGACATGATGAACAAGGTATCACCTAACAACAACGGTTGTCCCCCACAGCTATTTTCATCCGCTCTGATAGTGTGTCCTATGGAGTGTGTGTCTTCTCTGCTGATTAATTGAAGCTAAAGATAGCTCTGTGCATTCGAGTCCTAGTATCTGATCCAAGCTTGTCTTACCGTTTATTTTTGGACAATGATTGGGAACTCAGTGATTGGTATTAAGATGTTATATGTAGCACCTGATACAGACTGCCACAGGATTGTTTTCAGTCATCTCTACAATTCTGGCCATAGACATCAGATTGTAATCTTTTACTAAGTGTAACATCAGCCATGCTACACTTGAGGGTCTCTTGAATCACTTTTCCTTCTCCACTGAGTACCACTGGTTAAACCACAACAGGTCACCATGACCACAGTTGTCTTTAGCTGGTCTTCTGTTTAGTGCAGACTCCGAGTTCACACGCTCAGACTGAAAAGTACGATAACTCTGTTTCTAACTCTGACTTTGTCCCCACCTGCCAGGTGTGTCGAGAACAGTTTGTCAACCTTCACAGCCAGCCGATTCTGCAAGAGCTGTCCGAGTCCCTGTTAGAGAAGTACTGCACTGAGCTACAGTGAGTCACACAGCAACATGAGGACGACACAGGCGTGGGCAAACTTTTACAGTGGCGAGCCACATTGAACAGGGTCGGGAGCAGATCGATGGAGCGTTCATGTCAACTAAGATAAATGACATGTACAAGTCATGCATAAAGGCTAAAATGCTAAAATGATTTTTTTGCATTTTCTCCACCATCTATTGGGGAAACTTGGGTATTGCAGGGAAAAGGCAGAAGTATAATGATAATATAAATAAATTATATACTTTGGTAAAGTTTGGCAGCCGGATTAAGAAGCTAAACTGGCTGTGCCCGTAGTTTGCCCATGCCTGGGACAACACATACAGTTGTGGTTTTCTTTATTACTATCGGTCGGCCGATTAATGGGTCCACCCCATACACTGACTGGACCCTACGTTGTTTCAAAAAGCGCCCTCCACCAGTATAGCTTTATACTATTTATATTCCATACTTTAACCCTGAAGGAGAGTACTGCAGCTGTCACATGGCTGGCCAAGACCCAAAACCAAAGATTTCCTGCATGTTGTTTACACAATTACAACAATTTATTGTGTGTATTTAATCATTCAAATGTACAGTGTGTACCAACTGTAAAGCAGTTAAACACTTACATTTATTAAACCAACATCAGTCGACATAAAAGTCCTCCTGCAGCGGTGGAGTAGTGGCTTGTCGGTGGGTGGTCTCTGATTGTCTCAGTTTAAGGCGATGGCAGCCCAGAGCCACACCTGCAGCGTGTTCTCTCTCTCCTCTGTTTAATTGTTTTTTAACACAAGAAGCCATGGTTGCTGTCAACCTCAGTGTGTCCCTACACTACACTGTGGTCTTTATGGACTTTTATGGTAGGTGAAAATGATATCACACTTTGGATACGTCTCCCACGTCTGCAAACACTGTAAAACCGTCCATTCAGAATGTACACACACACACTCAGAGAATACAAAAGACTATAAGACTGGTAAAGTTATATTACAGTTGTCAGAGTTTTTCCTCCAGTCCTCTTTGACAATGTACATGACATTTCCTCCTCCTCCTGTTCCTCCTTCTCCTCCATGTTTCTGTCTACCTAGCTTCAGGCTGAGTTTCATTCATCGTCTCACTGTGTTTTTGTCTTTTTGAGATAATTGCACACCATCATCACAGCAGCCTTCATATTCTCTTTCTCTCTGTCATACACACACGCACACACATTAGTTTTAAGTCTTTGCAATCATTTTACATATTCATATTACATTCTCTAGCCTCTTATCATAAACTATTACAAATACATGACCAAATATATGAACCTCCAAATATGCTTTAACTGTAGGGACCTGCACAAAAGTCCCTGAACTGAAGGACATGTGGACCAGCTGGGGCATTTGAAGTTGATTAACATGTAACGATTGAATTAACTCTAATAACCACTTCAGCAGCTGTTTTATTCATATTGTTGTTTGTCTTCTGTCCACTGTATTGTTCTGCCAGTCCACTCAGTTTGATTAGGTTAGTTAATATTTATTTATTTGGCTGAAATAGAAATGAGATTGATGTCTGAAGCTGAACAAGTCTTTTTTTTTTTTTGTCAGGTCTGAAACATACATAAAGCTAAAGCAGCATCTGGCCGAAGTTCCAGAGACGGGTGAGTGTGTGCGCACCATAAAACACAAAACAGAGAATAATCCACAGATATAGACTATTGTATCACAAGGCCTCACTGAATAATGCCTTAAAATATGCATCCAGGTGTATAATTGTTGATAAAATTATATATATATCACATCTTAAATCTTATAATTGACCAAACATGACTGTCCTATAAATTTGGCTACAAAAGATGCAAAAAATACAAATGTAAAAATGTAATCTAAATGTAGTTGAACATCAAAGCCTGACTGATGATTGACCTGAAATGTCTGTGTTTGTTCTCTGAAAGTTTGATTTGATGTCAAACCAACATCAATGATGTCCCCTGTTTGTACAGTAACTACAATCACAGTCATGCCATCACTGATATGATTTTACATAATATACTGAACATTTAATGTGACTCTCTTTGCAATGACTTAATGTCCCTGGTGGTAAATTGTTGGCACTGCAGTGTGGTTTCCAACAAACCAGAACAGCTCTGGACTTTTCTCTGCTCTGATGCAGCCAAACCACCATCTGGGTGTGTGTCAGTTTAATAGGGGCTTTGATTTTACCTAAGGCTCCCATCTCCACTTGTACACCTGCAGTATTGCAGCTGACTCATGTAAATTGATTACTGCTAATGGTTTCAGTCATTTATTTTCCTCCTTTGCATAATAATTCCAGATGAAATCGGACAGTTTTTCCTGAGAAGTTTGTGTCTCTAAATCTCTTTTGTGGTAATTCTCTAAAACAATATGACAAAAATGTATATTGTTTATATTTTTGATTAAATTTATTTTTTCCTTAAAATTCCACACAACACCCCATAAAGACAATGTTAATAAAGATTTTAAAATTTGTGCAAATTTATTAAAAATGAAAAACCTGAGAAATCACATGTACATAAGTATTCACAGCCTTTGCTCAATACTTTGTTGATGCACCTTAGGCAGCAATTACAGCCTCAAGTCATTTTGAATATAATGCCACAAGCTTGGCACACCTATCTTTGGGCCCAGTCCTCTTTGCAGTACCTCTCAAACTCCACTGGGTTGAATTGGAAGTGTCAGTGAACAGCCATTTTCAGATCTCTCCGTTCTGAAGCCACTCCTTCAATATCTTGGCCGAGTACTTAGGGTCATTGTCCTGCT